TTCTATAATATTTGTGCCTTATAATTGGCTAACGTGATAAAAAATGCTAATTTATGTATGCTTCAAAGAACTAAAGGAACACATTTGGGCGCAGATATGACGCAATTATGTTACCGAATTCTTTTTGTGTCCGTTGTAATTGTGAGGCGCAGGTCGCGCTTACGAACCCCATTTATTCGAATGGCTTACGATAATTCGGCACGGTTCACCGCGCGCCTGTCCCCCGAGGTATCTCGAGTGTTGCCATTCTTACAGCCATAACAGGGTTTTTTCCATTAATGAAACCACTGCATCCATATTTCTATGATTTCGAAATGGAGATTATTATTTTGTACGTGCATCAGGCATACGGGGAATTTATTCATCATGAAATAATATGTTAATTTTAAAAGTATACGGTACAGACGCAAAGGGGTAGTATTTTTTCTGGAAAAATAAACATTCCTTTCTTCAACATAAAAACATTCTTTGCTTAATTAAAACCCGTTTGGATCCTTGTACCTTTCTTAAAATAGAATTTAATTGAAGTTTCCTTTATTTACAATGATCCTTTCTTGATAACATTTGTCATTATAAATCCAACAACAGTTTTCGATTCATTAATTAATTCATAAACATAGTTAACTGACCAGTAGTTTGTGGTTTGTATTACAAACTGTACCTACATTACGGTGCAACTGGAAACGGTACCTCATAATGAAATGGCTTACAACTAATGGTACGGTAATGACGGCCGCAATTTACATACGTATGTACATGTATGACTGACTGAATAACTATCCAAATAATTAAAATGTACGAGACATAACCTAGTATGATTTTAGTTCGAAGTGCAGTGCCGCAGTAATGTAGTGTTAATTTAATTATTTGAGGTTATGTTTGACTAGACATAAATGTAAAAAGAATTATAAAACTGTCTAATTGGTTAATAAATAAGTATTATTTTTACTTGTTTAATACTTATGCATAAATATTACAATAAGTATGCTAAAACTGAAATACTACAAGATTTGCACAAGGGCGGCCTTATTCCTTCAGCAATGTTTTGCAATGATTAACAATCATTTTAAAAAATATCTCTGTCTATTCATCTGCGAGTTAATTTAAGGGTAAACTTGTTTTTAATGTTAAGGTTGCTATGGAATGTCTGGAACAGGAAGCGTCTCCGTTTACCGCTAACATGCATCTTAATGTATCCAGGATGGCAGAAATCATGGTAATAAGCGCTCAGTGGCCGGGAAGGCATTATTCTAATGTACAGCCTTATAACTGGTCTTTACATCTACATCGATTGGTATTGATGACACTATCAAGATCAAAAATAAAGTATTAAACCATGTGTATTTGCCTGACTCTACCTGTCTTCAATGCTTTTTTGCGTAAATGTGAAATTACAATATTACGATTGGTGGAGGATGATTGATGGTGGGAAAATTGATGAAAATAAACTCTCCAAAATCCAATTACTGCTTTTATAACCTTTTAGGTGCAGTGAAATAACCGAAATTATGATATGTATTTAAAAAGGTATTATATTTTCCACGTATTTATAATAATGCCGGTAATTCGCGCAAATACAAATGTAATAAATTCACAAAGACTACAATTTGTGGACGCGAACAAAATACGAACAAACATTTTTATATTAAAGATCTCATTGTGAAAAGTAATATAGAATATGTAATATAGTCAGGATTATCCTCTTAACCCTACTTGTCTTTTGGGTCAAGCCTTTCCTAAAATATTATGGCTACCCTAAAGCAAGCCGCAAGGGTCGCCGATGCGAGCGAGATTAGATGCAAACGATGGGCCGGCGCTGATGGCTCATTTGCCTCTCGGATGACGCATTGATATCACGAGCATACCTTTGCCGCTCTTATTACACAAATCCGGCAAATCACTTCAACCAAACAGAAGCATTGTTATATACGGCAAAGCTTAAACGATGATTTATACAGTCATAAAATATAATAAAACGCAGTCTTGATATAATGTTTTGATCTTTGAAGTTTAATATAAGTGTAATTGTCTAATTTACATAAAGGTACATATATTCTTATGTAGTCTTTATGTAATATTTCGTATCAGTTATTCTTTTATAAAATTGTGACCTCAAATACTGCTTACCAGATATCTCTTCCGTAGTAACAGCACACATGTATTGTTGCCATATGGAAAAATTGTTGTGAAGTGATCTAAATTCTCTAATATTCTTGTTATTATACTAGTTTCTAGAATTCTCAAGAAACGAGGCAAATGAGAAAAACTGTTTAACCTAACTGTTGGATAGTACATTTAAACCCAGTTCTTATTTAATAAGCATTTTAAAACAGATACTTTTTAAAAGTCTGGTATAAGCAAGGTAAAGTTAATTTTATCGATATAAAGTTTTCTTTTATGTCTGAGTTAGACATTTCGAACGCTTGTTCTTTAAGATTGGCTCGAACGATTGTTAGTGGACTGAACAAGACAGACACAACGATGCCCAGTGCCTCGTGTCTCGTGCCTTGTGCCGCGTGCCCGGACAATAGGGCCAATTGAACGGATTGCAAAAACCCGGATGGATGCTTCTTTGCTTTACATTTTACAAAGGCGATCTTTTTAATTTACTTATCTTGCCCCTTTTCATGTTTTGTTAAATTTTAATTAAGTAATAAAATAACTTACTGACAAAAGATATTATATTGAAAATGTTTCAAAGGAGAAAAATGGTATTGTCAATGTCTTTCTTTTTTTTTAATTTAGGGCCATTTACATGAAGTGCCTTATTGTTTGCATTTTGTAAAAAAAAGTATGTAACATGTAAATAAATGTTTTTTTTTATCAAATTAACAATATTAGTATCTTATGTGAAAACTTATTACTTTTTACTGTGCTAAAAGTACGTAATCCACATTTTAATTGGTTGGATTGTAAAGGCAAAGTAACTTAACATGTGAAGCGAACATTTCTATAATTAATTATTACCAGGAACGACATACGTCAATTGACAGAGGCAATATTGAATTGAAACAACACAATGCCCATAGCTGAGTCAATGTCCTCGAATAAGCCTCAGGGCGTTATTGTTATTCCGTGCCGTGTTCCGTGTACCTCACATTTATGTTATGGAACATTGTACCGATTGTTACGGTAAACATTACGTAAATTAACCCACATTATTAAGATTCTTGTTCCACTATTAATGTTTTGTACGCATTGTGTTTGAATGGAACTGAAGAAGGATAATATCTTGACGTTTTAATTATTAGAAATGAAAGCTTGAACAATATATGTAGCTTACGAACCGTTATCAAATTCGGAGCGTAATTGAAACTTTTGAATAGAGGTGGAAACTAAAGGGTGATCAATTATTTTAGATTATAATAAATCAAAAGATATCTCTCTCAAACTAAGAAAAATTGCTATTGACTACGAATCTATACTGATATAATTAAGCGTAAACACATACTACTTTGTGGCGTACGATGTTAGATCAAAACATATTTTTGAATAGTTCTTTCTTTAATATAAAGCCCTACACTTACGTCACGCTTTAAACTATATTAAACTTAAGGAGTAAATCAATTGGAACAAAACCTTCATGTGCGAAAGGGACCACAAACTACAAGCTGCCAACATTGAGAATTTGACAAATGTAAACAATAAAATATTTTTTATAATTGGATGCGTATGAAGTCGCACGGGAACAGCTAGTATTTCTATAGGACTTAAATAAGATTTAATTTATTGTAACGATATGCGTGATGATTTTGGATGTGCAAGAATTATTAGGATATTAATATTCTTGTTTTGCCATTAAAAATTCTAATTGTATGTATTTCTGGTCAATTTGCAAGTCAACACTCAATCGTGAACAAAAATCTAGATTTGAAAGCGTCGATTGATGGAAAGCGCCGCGCCGTAAAATAACGAAGCAACTGCTACATCAAGTAATTGACATCGTCAGCACTCGTCGACCCAAAGAGCAACGGCGGCCCATTCACGTAAAAGCCGGGGAAGAGTCGAACAGTTAAACAGCCGACGAAAAACAGGCAACCTTCAGTACATCGGGACGAGCCTACGTTGAACGTAAAAAACCTCACCTACTTTCAGAGTGCAAACAAAGCTGACAATTTTATGGTTCCGTTGCTTGAATTTTGCTTAAATGATGCATACGAAACTTTAGAAAATAATTTCATCCGAAACGCGGTGGACTTTAAAAGACTTTTGAAATACTATATACACTTAATAAAATCGCGTAGATGGGCATCATTTTTATGTGGCATTTTCAACCTCGTATAACATCATTAATGAAAAGAATTTTTTTACCTGACATAAAGGAAATTTTACCACAATTGAAATAAGAAATAATAAACATTGAGAATAACAAAAACACTTCAGATCTACTTTAAAAATAAATTAAGGCGTTATAATTTGTTATGTAATAATTTACCTAACAAAGATAAAAAATTAAAGAAAAATTATTTTCCCTACCTAAACTCCTAAAAGTTTTAATTTGCCTTCTAACTTGTATTTAATTACAAAAGATAAATACTGAGAACAAAGGCCGTGTACCAAATAATCTCGTGAATTAGCTATCTTTTCCAACAAAGCCTTTGTATACTGAGAACACTTAACTTAAAATGGGAGTCATTTTCCCGACAAAGCTCCGACTATACCGGTTCACAATTCACCGGAGCCAAAATAGCGGTTGGATTTGTCACCGACAAATCGTGAACTTCGAATGTTTGTAATTTACCTAAGCAAAGTAAAGTCCAGAAGAATTCATTCACAAATTAACTGGTATTTCGGCTGTTTGCAAAGAATACATTTCGATGGGAATTATACTGTCAGAGAATCCGCGATTCTTGTTGGTTAAGTCTTTCCATGTATTTTTTAAAATGAATTCTTTCGATACGAATTTTGCTGAGTCTTCGGTTTACCTGGGAGAGTTAAAAACTCGAAGCTTACACATTTTACCGGTGGCATAAATCGGACGAGTTAGACAAAGTACTTACATTGGAGGACGAAAGCGGCCAGTTCTGCGGCCAGCTCGAACCCCACAGGCAGACGACCGCGAAGGACGTCTTGCTTCAGTTGTAGAAATAATTGATACCTGAACGGATAACAAATAGTTAGAATATTTGAAAATGTACACATTGTTGAACTGTTTTTGCAAACATATGATTTTATATAAAAAATTACATCTTAAATTATTATTGTTAGTATATTAAAATGTTCATAAACATTTCTAATAGCGCGGAAAGTAAAAGTTACCGAATTTAGTAATTCCATAATACTCATTTTACAATAAAGGGAATATATTATAAGGAAAACAGTAACGTTTTATTTCTTTCTAAACGTCAAAGTGAGCTTAGTAAAAGGCTCTAAGAAATATAGCCCTTAAAAGGAAATTAAATATTAAAAGACCATCATGGCGAAGATTTTCAAAGATTTTACGAGTATTAAACAGCGGCCTTTACCTAAAGGGAAGGATGCTTTCACCGTCGTGAGGCGAACTAAGACTCACTGGAAGCGGCAGGGGGCCGACGACAGGGTAATAACAAAATTTTGATAAAATATTTCCGGTTCCCGTCTTTGAAGTTTCTAAACAAGGAATGTCATCATTGACATAATGAATATGGATATTTTCCAGTTTCTGTACTTTAAAGGGACCGAAGATGAAATTAAATTTGCGAACAAGAAATAAGATTTTAAAAACAATGTAATTAATTTAATTTGCGGTACTAACAACTTTTATAACTTTTACAATTACCTATAATTTTTAAGTTCAAGTATTTTAAGTAAAAGAATACATAGGCTACTCAGTTTTGTTTTTTTTTTAACTGCACGCGGACGGAGTCGCGGGTGAAACTTAAATAGTCGTAATTATCTGTATGTTAGATAATTGTATGGGTATACAAAATATTATTGTCATTAAACAATAGCATGTAGCATAGTAGCAAAAAATATATCAACATAAGCTTGAGTGGGCAGCTAATTCGCAATTTATGTAGAGGCCGTCAGCAAAGCACTCGGAACACTTGCCAAATTGCCTGTTGTAGGAGCAGAATTAGGTTACACAGCCGTTAACAACGGACCGTATCTGCTGCACACATGTGCTTAACGTAAAGTTATTATTTGCACATACACAAAAAATAAAGAATGTATAAATTGAATGACGAAATGTGGGAATCGATTGTTAAATGTCTTGAAAGAGCGAAAAATAATAATGACAAAGAGAAATTAAATTTTGCTTAGTTATGATGCTTATTAATTTTACTAATAATAAAAAGGTTCAGTCATTATTAATAATATGTTACAATGTCGTGAAAAATATAAGTTACTTTACACACAAATACTGCTTTAATGATGTCTAAGAATAAAAATTATATGCATGAAAAAGTTAGAATACTGAAATAAAATAGTAGAAACCGAGATATGAAATAAAATTAATTACTTAACACATCGCATCAGAATGTTTTGTTAAAATGTACCAAGACTGACACTAGCGTGAATGTATCCAATTAAAAATGTTTTAAATGAAAAGTTTCGCGAATGTTTTCAAAGGTTGCCATAAGTCGAGTACTCTAATGCCAGCTTGGCTCATTCATTCGTTTTATTCTAGCCGCTGTTTACGAGATCGCGGGCCAGGGGGCGCTGAGAGCGCACTTCCTTAACCCTCGCCCTCTCCCTCGATATTAACTTTTAAAAAGATTCTCATTTAATATTTTATATAAAATCATATGTTCGCAATCTTATTTGCTAGCAGCGGTGAAGTAGAAACTAACTAAGATTTATTATTTGTTTATTTTTTGGCCGACATAACCTATACATAGATATCTAACTAACGCACTTAATATATTCTAACGATATTGTAACTAAGAAAATTAACAATGTCATACAAAATTAACAAACGGTGACTTGTATTCATAAACGAACTTGTACGTTAGCAATTTTTTGGAAATAAGCATAATTTATAAAAACTTCAATAAAATAAAAATTAACAATAAAATGATAAGGCAACCACAAAGTTCAAAACGAGCTTCTTAGATATAGAGTACTCCGAAAATAAACTACATATGTTGCAACTCGGAAAACACGGCGCGTGCTTTGATGGTCCCGTCGAGTCGGATGGGTTGTTTATTGAAACATCGGTCGGTCGATGAAAAGGCCTATCTGTTATGGTATCACCCCTCGCCAACCGCCGCCGCGTTGTCATCTTTCAAACTGAGTAATGACTCTAACACCCTGCAGTAACCATAAACCATTGAAATGGAATGTTTCGTAATGTGTGCTAAAACTAGATAAATATTGAGCTTTTCCGACACAATCAGAAAAGCTCATAAAAATTGATTAAGTTTTGTTACATTCAATTTGATTGCATCTTCTACAATAGCTAAATCTACAATTATTATTACTTCGAAATTAGACTTTTAAACTATTTAAACCTGCTAAAATACAGACTTTCTTATAATATTACGAAAATACATTAATCTCCAGAAAGTGTGTAGGCATTTAAAATTGTATCATTAAAACGAGCGTGGTTATGTTAAGTGATCCTTTAGAAAATCTCTTTCAAGTCACAAAGGAAGAGCGCCGTTTAGTCCACACGTTCCAAATCACAACTCGAAACGTATATCAGACGACAATTGGCGCACTAAGGACATCCATTTAGCGAGGAACGCGTCGCGCCGAGAATCTCAAGCCCGCCGTCTAAGCCGTCAATTCCCGCCAGGATTTCATTTCCCCCGACTGCTTAAGCACAAGTCTCCACAGTCAAAGGAACAAAGACAAAGTTAGCTGCTCGCATTTGATTACTTAAGGTATTCAGAATACACTAACTTACTTAAAAGAAGTCATTGTAACTTAAAGACGTCGCACAGAAAAGGTTTATGAAAGGAATTTGACCTGAAGACTTGCGACATAGAAATTGCTGTTCGTTTTTCTCTACTCGAACATTAATGCTAAAGCAAGCTTAGCTTTTCTCTGAAGTAAATATAAGACTGTACTTTCGTGTAAGATTAATTTACCTAATTATGTCTAGAGATATAAATGCTAAAGTTTTATCTAGTTAGATGAATGCAACTAGTACCAGGAACCGCAGGACATAGCTAGTTCTAACCTAGTAGAAAAGTAATATAAATTTAAATACATACATGCATATTTTTTCATTAATGTAAAACGAACAACCCGCGAGTAAGTCTAGATGAAAGAAAAATATATTCAAAGTAATATTACCGCGTAGATTGAATTTTGTAGGTATTTTCGTGAGGTTATAAGTTTAATAGGGATCCGTTACTCAAAAATTGGCTTCGCGCCGACAAAAGGGAGGAATCCTTTGTGACAGAGAACGGGATTGTGTAACTAAGGTTAAGAAGCTCTAGCAAAGACTGCCTCTCAAAGGGGCTAGGAACATTTAAGTCGCACAGCGACTAACTATTTTGTACTTTATCAGTCTTCAAAGTTATAGTAACAGTCTGTGCTATGTAGTATTAGACAACTTATTTAATTGATACTGTCGCTTTTAACTCAGAGCAATACTTCTCGTCAAGACTCATGTTATGCGCGAATCTATCCATACTTCTAGTGACATTGACAGCTGTCAGCTAGAGACGTGCAGTTTATGCCGATAATCTAGAGTTGCGCCAATTCTATAGAACGGTATAACGGAACTAATTTTATTCCTAACAGTAGCAATAACGTTTTCGTGACTGTTATTGATACCAATGAAAAGTTAGGTAAAATAAAGGTTATGCATTTAAAAAGAACTATAATGGTCAGTTTCCTAGCAACGTTTAACCTTTATTTAGTGTTTTTGTTTCGATAAATTCACGAAATGAGTTTCCGAACTTCGTAACTTGAGTTTTACTCCGTTGCAACATAGGTCAACCGAACACAAATGATTTATTAGCTAATCATACTTTCATACTAATATTATAAATATAAATGCGAAAATTTTGATGGATGGTTGGATGTTTGTTAGAGTTTGTAGCCTAATTGGCTAAACGGATTTCGATAAAATTTAGTATAGATGTAGAGGATAGTCTGGAAGAATGCATAGGCTACTCGTTTTTTTTAAGTCCACGCACACGGCATCGCGGGTAAACGCTAGTGATAAAATAAATGGAAACTTTAGAAACCCAGCTTAAGTTAGTCAATGCCGACACAGCTTTCAATATGAGAGTACGTGGAGGTAACAGATGTGCTTTATTGTCGTGTTCTGTCCCTCAAAGCTTGATATTAATGTGCTGTATGGTTGATATTGCGAAATTATGCGGCACATTATAGGGATAATATGTACTTGACAAATACGTAAGAATTAAACTGTTTATTTAAATTATTCGTTCAATAACTTGATTTTTTTTTTATATTTGCAATATTAAACTATAAGGACGAATAGAAAAAACATATCCAGATTGATATGTACATCAATATTAAATCAAAGAAGGTTTAAGTCATACAATCGTATCACAACTTAATGAAGTTTCTGCGCACTTATTAACCAGATTTAATACTGTAATCATAAATAATTATATTCTACGAGCACAATGACTGGTAGTTAGGGAATGACGTTAAATCCAAAGTGGCCATTAGAGCCGTAATAAGTGAACAGGCCTCCAATATACCGCTCTGCAGGGATTAATGTTCATGTAAATTTAATTTCTTCCCTCCGACTGTAATCTACATAAAACATGGCCATTCTATAATATATTGGAGCAAACCACTGCGAAAACGAAAAAAAAAGTATGTTTAAAAGCATCAGGAATGTAGACAGATTTGTTGTGCTAATATTATGGTTTTAAGATTCCTTAAAACCAAGGATGATACGTTAACCATCAAAAGGAATTTACCCTCTGAGTTATCAAATTAATAGGATATTCTAATAGGATGACCACGTTAGCAGAGCCAATAATCGTTAATTTGTGGACAGCTTAGAGTAAAATGGAGTTAGATATCCTCTCGAATAGACTAAATTTCGTTCCGGTCACCAATTTACTAAGCATGTTATAAGAATACGTACTAAGGCTAACATTTCGTTTTAATACAATAGAACTTGAGCATCGGTGGCTCAGTGGTTTGAACATTTGACTTGTAATCTACAGGTCTTGGGTTCGAATCCCGCAATGTACCAATGTGATTTTCGATTTTTCATATGTACATAATTTACCCGACGTTCTTACGGTGAAGGAAAACATCGTGATGCAACCTGCCGTGATCGTCGATCGTGAAGTCAACCAACCCGCACTTGGCCAGCGTTGTTGACTATGGTCTAGTCACCCCTTATTAGGGTAGGCTCCGAGCCCCTCGGTGGGGACGTATAGTGAGCTGGTGATGATGATGATGATGATGATGATGACAATAGAACTGAAAGATTTAGTATGTAAAAGATTTTGATGCCTTTTAAACAAATGGTACCTTATGGTACTCTATAAAAATGAATCTGTTGCCAATAAAATTTTGAATCCTTCAAAGACGTACACGAAGATGGTCTAACATTAATTGGTACAAGATTAGTTATTATCTACATTACGGACCATCTAAAACTTCACGATAATTATTTTAAAAAAGCGAATTGCCAAATAAAATACTTAAATAACTTAGATAATGTTATCCTTTATCCTAATTGAGGGCAAATTAAAGATAGGATGAATAGTTATCGAGGCGTTATCCGCTTAAAGTATTAACACAAGCGATGTTTTATCGTTCTGCTTTGATCAGGAACGCGTTAGTAAATATTTCTACTGCTTTTAAATGTGCAGCAATTTGTTTTCAACGCATGTTAACGATTCCAAAACGTATCGAATTTTTAGTACAGATTCTATCAATTACGATAAAATGTTTAGGTATTTTTTTACTCTTTCCTTTCAAACTTACTAAATTGGCAACATCAATAGGATTTCCGTAAACCCATTTTATGTTGAAAGTTAATAATTTCGTTATAACAATTTTCCCGAATTCAATACCTTACGAATTCGAACTTCGTGTTATTACAAAATTATTACCTACATAAATTGCAACCCGAACTTTGAAATTGGAGTGGCGAAAATTATTCCGTTTCGAGTGGGCATGTTTACCTTTTCAATTTCTATGTATTCAATTAAATCCCTTCTTAGAATATTTAATTCCAAGTTTCTCATCTATAAAAAGATTGAAGATTGATAATTTATTTGATATTTGAAAGTTTAATTAGTCACACAACTTTTGATACAAGTTATTCTAATTTTAAGACTTACATTGCTTTAAATTTAGTAACTGTGAATTTTCATTATAAAGATTTTTTAATAGTAAATATGACAAAGTATGTTTTACCTGGTGATTTCTTCTAATAACTTGCAAGGGTCTGCCGCGTAGAATTTGACTCCGAAGTAGAAAGTGTGCGAATCCGAGCCCCGCAGCTGACGGCGAAGCTTCCGGCCCGCGTCCAACCAGTGCTGAACAAATAGTTAATTTTATATTCTTTACGTATAAATAAATCTGGAGAAGTAAGAGCGGGCGCGCACTTTTTACTAAACTATCGCATAACCGTTGTGCGATTGTTGATTGTCGATTGTTTTGCAGTCATTCAACTGTTTAGTTTGCTCAATTAAAACTCGAGTAGTGTGCGCACCTCCATATAAGGTCATCGGAACCAAAGTGAGACGAAAGTTATACGACAGTTCAGTTTAAGGTGTGTCTAACCTAACGCTGTTACTTTTTCGATGATTTTAAATTTATATTTCCTTGTTTTTCACATGAATAAGTAATTAAATATAAACAAACGACGTTCTTACCGTTTGGTTGTCTTGATCCACATAACGAAGACCGAAATAAGCTGTTTCTAAAAGATCTAAATGCCTAAACACCACATCGAGGAGTGCCTGGCCGGTGCTGTTGTCCTGCGAACAATTTTGGACATAAGTAACTTTTAAAAACACATATTTAAGTCAAGAACAAAAATTACTTATGAATACCGTGCATATGATGCTATGTTGCATGAAACATATTTAAACATTCTTCCTATTTGTGTGTTACATGGAAATGTTATTTGGAACAGATTACGTGAGTTTTTCCTTATTGGTTTTATGAAATGAAATCAACAAATCTCATATCACTCGCATCTTTATCTTTTTAAGGTAACAAGAATGACGGTTGATATACTTCCTTTATGCTAGCATCATTCGAAAATAATAGAGTAACGATATATTGAGCTTTCCATTTGAGTTCAAAGACTTCGTAATACAACGACGAATACTTGTGTTAACGCTTATTGCTATATTTTTTTTTTCAAAGAGAGTAACAAGGACATCAATAAATCTAACTATTAAGCTTGCGCGTACCATCTTTCGTCTGCATCATCCCTTTTATCAGGATCGTGGTAACGAACATAAAAAAGGTTAATGTGGTAAAGGCTGTTTTGTGGAATGACATTGATAGAACCTCCCTCATGTTTTACAAATGCATTATAATGTTTGATAGAACACTTCAATATATTAACCTATTTCCTTAAATTTAAGTGAGTTTTACCTGCATTTTTTATAAAATAATAATATTCTAATGAAAATGCTTCCCAAATATACTTCGTTGTACTTAAGGCAATAATAAAGTAGCTGTTAATAAAAGCTCTCATCTCAAATGTTCGGGATGAATGCTGAGGTATAATTTGGTGAACTGAAATGCCTTCGCCTTCGCCCCCGGCTCCGTGAAATTCTCTGTGAGAGTCAACTTAATCAACCGTTAGATATACAATTTCTTTTGCCTTAATTCGTGCTTAGGGGCATAATTTTATGATGAAATTCAATTTTAAGTAAGTACTCGGATTACTGAAATATTTAATGTGACATCCGATATATTAATTTGTACTTGATAAGTATATAACATTGTACAAGTAGGTACTGAACAGAGATAAAAAGATGAGATTATCTAATTCGTTTTCAAATTAATTGTAACAACTTACATATTAGTTTTAGAAGGAATAAGCATTAGAATTATTCCACTTACAAACTAAATACGATATCAGTAAGAAAATTAAATCAAAGAATAAAAAGTTGCTATTTCACAAGTTATAAAAAATCAACCGAAAGCGTAAAAAATCGCGACCGCTCCATATTCCCACGTTACCGAACCGAGTATGCTACAAATTAGAATTTCTCGATGCCTGACTTTCGTCAATTAAGCTCATTCACACGCGATGGCGGAGGTAAGACCAGTAGTTGGTGATGTGGCATTGGCATTATAATGATGGGGAGCTGGTGGGAGCTATCACGCACATCACGAACGAACATGCCTCTTCACTTTGATTGATTCCTAAAGCCTGTTAATAATGACTAAATTTATGCAAATTACACTGAGAACGCCAAGGAAATAAATATAAAGCAGTTATTTAAATTAGCGATGTATAGTAGTGGCTATTGAAAATTAGTTGAGAGAATTTTTAACGCAAGCTATCTATACTAATATTAAAAAAAAGAAAGGTTCGTATTTTTGGATTTTTGCATCTATTGAAATAAGTCAAAAATACTGGGCCGATATCAATTTTTTCACCATTATAAAGCGTATCAGTAACATAGGCAATATTTCTTAAATTCAAGCAGGCGAAGTCACGAGAAATAACTAGTCAATTACATGGTAATAACTATGATAATTTATACACAGCTAGATGGTAGAATTGAACTTATGTTTTAGAATAGCAATTATTTGCTAAAAGTCAATGTACCCAAAAACAACATAGAATAAAACCCATTTCCACGAAATAGGACACAACTCATTTAATTTAATCGGATTATAAACACAAAGTTTTGTCGACTGGAAGGTAATATGTTGCCCTAAAACAATATACACATATAAAGTATACGAGTACATATTCCCTTTTGGATAAAAACGAACAAACGAAACAGTTCGTTGATCTGAATAATAAATGATTTAATAACGGAGCCTCGTCTGTTCTCAACAAATTACTTTCAGCTCCGTAAATGGCCAATCTTATAATCTGACAGCCAGAATTTGATTTAACTGTGATGATCGCACGTCAATTAAAAGTAAAAAATGATTTTTTTAGCTACTAGCTGTTGCTTGCGGCTTCGTGCGCGTGAAATTAAAAAATATAGCATGTTACTGATAACGTAGCTTTTTAATGGTGAAAGAATTTTTGAAGTCGACTCAGTAGTTTTTGAGTTATTTCAATACATACGAAAATCCAAAAGTACAAGTTTCCTCTTTATAATATTAGTATAGATACGCGAAGACGTCTCTAAAAGTACATCCATTCAAATAAATCTATTGACAAACGATAATATTAAAGAAAAATACATACTACATTTAACTAAAAACGTGCAAAATTACATAGATTAAAACTGAATACATTGACAACTCAACACATAACCACTATCAAACAACACGAACGATCCAATTTGTTCCACTCCAAAACCATTTCATCCAGAACGTATGTATGTGACATTCAATTCTTGGTGCAATTACTACGACATTGTTATAGATATTTCGATCAACATTTCTTTCATTTCTTAGAATTGCGATAAATCATATACGGTTCTGTTTCCTTTTTCCGCTCACGTTCATTAATTATTCCATTGAGAATGTTTCCGCTTGTAAATACTGGCGATAGAAGCAATTAACACTGACGTATACAGCTTGTTAGAACCAATATGGATGTGAAGAAAGATCGGTATTTATTGGACTTCCCTTCAAAGACATGCGTACTTAGTCTACTTTCAAAGAATGTGCTATCAAGCGGAGCCCTCAATTGGATAGAAAAAACTAATTAGAGCTATCATTGGAGTGAAATTTTCGAGAAATCGTCTTCTTTAATCGAATAAAATATGCTACTTTTTCCCCGAACGAAGCTACGTATAAATAATATTACAGATCCACACCGCTCATTATTTTAACACCGATCTTTGAGGCGACTGCCGTAGCTCGCAACCACTAACAAGCGCTTTTGCAACTGAACTCCATTGTTGAAACTGTCGTCTGCAATATGTAAGCATGTTCACGTATTGTTTTACACAAATATGTTACACAAGTATCGTTATATTCAGCGAATGTTAAAAGTGTGACTCAAAGGTGACAAAGACGTAAAATGCCTATCAACGTTGTCTCAATCACTATTGGGTAAGAGCGAGCGCACACCTAGGACTAAACTACCGCACAACAGTTGTGCGATTGTCGATTGTTTCGCAGCCCATTCAACTGTTTAGTTGCACAACTAAAAATCAAGCAGTGTGCGCCCTTCCATATAAGCTCATAGAATTCAAAGCGAGACTAAACGGTTCTGCGACAGTTTTTATTATCAGGTGTGCGCACGCTCTAAGCATTTTATAGAAAACGTGATTCAAAATACGTAAGTAAATTGACAGCTTGTTGTCTGCCGTACCCATAGTTTACCTTCTATGGTCAATCCTCTCCCTTAGCGACCAACAAATGACTTCAAGTCGGACACTAAATGTTTTATACCTTTAAACTTTTCTAATGTTTGGGACAAGAGGAAGAGAACATTTATAGTTGTTTGATAGAGAAGTGAAGAAACAACCGGCACAATAAAGACGACACCGATAGAGGCGGGGCGTGAAGTGCATTTGTTCGCTGAGACGTGAAATACCGTCGACTCAATTTGCCGACGCGACACTCACTAACAGTCCCAGTCACCTTTTAGTACTTATACATAGGTATAAGTAAACATGAAGAATGTCGTGAGTACTAAAAATGACCACACACAGGGGATGTCTGAGGATGTTGATGGGTAAATATAGTGTTTAACAATAATACCTTGTAGAAGTTGCTTTCCAACACCAATAGCTTACGTACATAAGGTATTTTGCGTTCTTCTTGTCTAAGAAAAGTAATTAGTTAGTCGAAAAAGATTATTTTTATACACCCAAAATGTAACACAAAGCCAAGTTTAAACAAAGAATTCGTAAAATAACCGGGAAATAATAAAGACGCGACTGACAAAGTGATGCGGGGTGCGAAGTGCATTTGTCCTTTGAGTCGTGAAATTCCGTCTCCTCAATTTGCTCGTGCCGCACTCACGAGTACCAAACCTCCTCCCTATGTGTTCTAAATTACTGGACAATTTCTTGGATACTTGTTCAACTAGTCGAGACGCAATGAACTACACATTCACTTTCCGTCTGTTATAAAACGACTGTTTTGTTTTTGTGATTCTTGCACTGTTTTGTTTATTATTACAAAGTCATTTTTTATATTTTCTCTTTCTTAAAATGGCTACAAAAACCATTATAATAGTACAAAATGAATCAGCTACATTTATTGAATGAAACTAAAAAAAATAAAAGACAACATCAACCCTGAGAAGTATTAAATGAGATTAAGAATTTCTACCTGGCAATTTTACATCATTTCTTCCATATCAATACGCACGCGAGTGTAATACGAAGGGTACTGTTATAACGGCTTTTTATTATGAAAATAATCTGGTTGACACACATTCGGATACAAATATCATCCATTACTTTTTATAAGAATAAAAAATATTTGTTTTCGAGTTTTAGTCCGAATACGTCAGGGTCTTGAGTTTGTAATTTAAATATTTTTCTCTGATGCCAGTCATATCGCAAGCAATAGTTTTGTCAAATAAAAAAGCCAACAATTTAACATCTATTGGTCTAAGTGAATATGTAAATAGTTTGAGCAATAAATTCTTAGTGCACAATCCAATTTGTACGTTATGAGAAAAGAGGAAACTTTGACTCGATCCGTTTGAGACAAATGGCCCTTTGTAGATAGGAAAACTCTGGGAAGGGCGACGATTTATCTAAAATAACCATACAATTTAGCTGGAAAAGTCGAACTCTCGTCGCTTCCACTTTGCTGGAATTGGGCGATTCTAGTCCAATATATATCTTTGGAATTTGTTTGACGAACAAGTTACGCGAAGGATTTCGGTCCGGGGAAAAGAATATCTATAACAATTGGACCGTTGTTTACGGTTATGTCGCGGAGTTATAGCGACTGTGTCCGGATAAGTGTCGGCCCCGTTGGCCGACAAAATTATATGATCTCGTGTTCTAGAGAGTTTGCAAGATAATGCTGAGATAGTGTGTTTCGAAGCGCCGGGGGCGGCGTGTTCGCAGAGTGAACTCATAAATTATTTAGTTATAACCTTTGCGAACTTTCACACTTTTATTTCATTTCAGTAAAAGTGTACTTTGTTTTTGTTTTGTTTACTTCATAGTTTAAAAAATGAACTTAAGTAGGTTTGATCTGCTAGCATTATTTAATTTGAACTTTAAAGAGATTTATGATTGTTTTGAAAACTCTTTTATTTCATATTAGTTATTCAATTAAAGAAACTGTTTTGTATTATCTGATAAAATGCGTTATTTCCGTACAATCACGTAGTACACAATGGAAATGTCGATATAATTAACCAGGTAACACGTGTGTCGCCGCCGCAGCCGCGAGCCGCTCTCACATTCACCGCGCGACAATACCCGCCCGATAGAATTTAATATTCATAGAGTCGACGTACGATTCAGTGAATTCATCGCCCGCGCCTCGGACCCCGGTGCTGCATATAAAAGACCTTCCCCGACCTCCCGGTTGTATTCTCAAATAATTCCCCTCCAAATACTTGCTTCACAATAAATTCATAAACTTTTGCTGTCAATCGTTTATAATTTCTATATTGTTAACAATAATTGTCTGTTAAAAAGTATAATAAATATCAATACATTTTCCTACTAGTCGTCAAATCTCGAAGGTGTAACAGATCTGTCAGCATCTCAAAGGTAACGGAATAGAAACATAAAAACTCTCCAGCTGCGATCCGCGACGAAATTGAAAAAGCCCTCTGAACTCCGTGGGGACACGCGCTCAGAAGCTTTGAAGTAATCTGACCAATTTTTGGGCAGAAATATGAAAGGAATATGTCAAAAGCCGCAACTCAGGCCCAAAGGTAGTTTGGAATCAATTTCAAACAAAAGGCGAACTATTTGTTGACGTTCTATTTTAAACAAATAAATTGAAAGTTAAAAAATATGTCGAGAAAGGTTTTAAGCAATCTTAAGTATTAAGACACATGGTTAATAATATTATTAATTATTACCTGCATTTCGTGCAGCAACTCCCTTTCGTCTAATAACACGACGCGGCAGGCCAACGCGCGCGGCGCGGGGCACAGGCAGTCCATCATCCTGCCCACACCTAGCGCTCGCCTCCACCTGCAAAATACAACACTTTTTAGGAACAAAAAATTTTAAACACTAACATACCGACTGTCTCCCTTCATAATACTTTTATTTTCTATGACACTAGCTTAATCAATTTATCTTGCGCGAAGAGATTAAAAAAGTATATAGAGGAAGCAGAATTGCCACTTCACTTGAAACATTCGTCACATCATCATCACCAACACTATCCACTGATAGATCCACAAAACCACATATCAATATAATTCAATTCAGGTGGCAAGTAAATAATATTTAAATGTTTACATTTTATTTTGTAATGATGGTGGCTACAAAGGAAGAGGAAGACCGAAGAAAGTATGGATGGATTGTGTAAAAGAGGATAGCTTAAGAAAGGAGTGGATTCAGATATGACGGCTTATAGAGATGTATGGAAGAGCAGCACATACTTTGCCGACCCTCCAAAAGGTAGAAGATCAAGTTGATGATGATTTTATTTTGTAACACAGTTTTGTTTATTTTATGTTATAACAAAAGGTGGAGCCAACTATAATTTTGTAAAATGCTTATTACATGTCAATACAAGGACACGAGGTAGCGTACTAAACTTGACAACTGATAAAGTACCTTTCAGAGACGGTAATCGTGAAAAAAATTGTTTACTATGCCTCTTCTATATGTTTTTAAACGTCTTGGATCTTGAGATAAAAGAAAACTTTAATGATGGCATTATGGATATTTGGTAGCAACACAAAGTAAGTTACGTTATACATTTTTAAATTATTAAATTTACTGTTAAGAGAACGTTCAATAAATTAGCATCAGGATGCCGAAGCGTAACTCCACGGATTTGTTGTTTTCTCGGCCACTTGTGAGCTATTCAGGTATTTCAAAACATGGTAACATCGGTGTTCCATCCACAAAGCCAGAAGTTGTTTGAAGGCAATTACGGAGTTATTTGCAGTCCGACTCAATAGTGAAATCACCAAAGGGTCGGTCGAGACCAAATATATCCTCGTTAAAAGTTAGTCCAGGGAATACCGGCTCGCACCGGTTTTAACAATTTTATTTTAATTAGTAACTGCACCCTTCCTAATGACTAGATCCGAATTGTCTACAAACATATTTCAAAATTACATATCACGTAACTTTACATCACTTGAAAACGAGATGAACTTTTTATTTTACTCCAATGTATTAATAAAATAAATGTGGTAATTTTAAGAAATGTTAATAAATTATACTTAAACTTTTTGTACAAATTTTAAGATGAGAAAAAGAATGGGCGAGTAAACTCCAAGTAAACAAACCGTGAAAGGAAAAGGCAACATTAAAGCGGCTCGAACACTGCATCACGGAACTCTAACAGCAAGACAAACCAAGAAGTTTGAAACAAACAACAAAGACGGGGCAATACGAGCCATTAATCCGAACGATCCCGACAGAGATTAGTGTTGCTATTGACCCCCGCGCCCCGCGGCCCGCACCCACACCGCGCCACGCCGCGCCGCGCTTCCCCCACTGGAAAACATTTCCTCGCTATTGTCTGAGCGGGAAATAAAAAAAAAAGAATCTCGATTGACAACGTGACCCTGCGACGTGATCGCGTTCGCGCGCCCCCAGCCCCGCGCCGGTTTTCCCGCCTTTTGTTTCACACACATCCATAGAGCAGTAAAGGTACCCATCCATCGCACGAAAACCGCTGCATTTCACCGCGACGTACCCATAACATTGTTTGATAATAATCAAGTGTTCTCATGACGTTACTTCCTAGCCTGTACATGATGCGAATAACAAGGATTTTTTCTTTTGAACTACTTCATGCCATGCAATTACATCTGTTATTATTTGAAGGGAAAGAAAAGTTACAATAGCGATTTCACGATGATCACATCAAACTTGTTACAAAGACGATGAAAAAATCATTTAAACTTCAGAAAGTATCAATAAAGCGTCAGAACTATGACCCATGTTTCCGTTTAGCATAAAGCAAACTTATGGCATTTGGTATCCATATTAAAAACTTTGGAAAACAACGCATCAATGCGGTTCAACAATTTTACCCCGACTTCTATTGCGAAATTAAAAAAATAGCACACAAACCCTCGGCTACTGTTTTTATTGAAAAGGTTTTTTTCGGCGAAAATGGACCAACAAAATTCAAAACGCTTTTCATATAGGGACAACGAAATGTAATAATTCTCGATTTTAGTAAGATTTGATGGGAATTAAATGAAAGAGATATGATTATTATAATTTTTACATTTTTAATAAAAGACTGAAAATACTCATTTTATATTATACATGCATAAATTTCAATCATGAATACATATCTTCTTGTATAATACATATATCTCTGTATATTAGGTGAGCATTCGACTATAACAGAGTACTACGTAACGAGTTTTCCTGTTACACTAATTGGCCAGTTAACCGGGGAAGTTTCCTAGGATACCGACAATGTCGTATATGAATACACACATCTAGTTAGGTTACCGGTAGCTTAATAATGTCAAAGCATATCTTCTCACTTCTATACTTTACAAATCACTTATTATGTTGGCAATTTGATGTCACAGATTGCTGTTAGAAAGTAATAATATTATAAACCAATTTGCTGATGTTTATTCAAGATATAACCTTTATATTTACTTGTACATGAAAAATTGTTCAGTATTTGCAAAAGATTTTCAAAATGCAACTTGTACATTGAGGTAAACCGTATTCTAGACTAGCGTAAACTATTTTGAACGGTCTGAATAAAAGCTTGCAAGCCGACAGCCGAGTAAACTGCATAGACAAGATTTTAACTCGCTCCACAAGCCGTGTCGAATGCGATGTAGCACAACGGTTAAATAACACATTCTATAGCCACGACAATATTTGAAGCCCATTTTGACATATCTATCTACATATGTATACACTAAGTAATTTTAATTTGAACAGACGGTATCCTCTTTGAGGCAATAAAGCAAATGATGTCTTATAAAAAAAGGTTTATCGTCTAAACATTTAAGGGAATGAAAAATTTTAAATAGACATTTAAAAACGACAAACAAATAAGGACATAATGTTTCTAAGAAAGTAATGAACTGTTGAAGCAAATATTTAACAAAAAAATGCTTCTTTTTCTCATAAAATCAACTGGCAATTAGTCGACTTGTTATAGACGTTTATGATTAAAATGCTTTGTTAGCCATCACAATGTATAATTTTAACATGCCTATAGTCCAGAAGTTATACGCCCCCACATCGGTACAGAGGGTCTATTTCGAACCATTGCGTCACATTTGCGAAAACGTATTCGTAACAACATCGACAAATATGCACAAATCTAATACAAATTTTGTCGATAATGTTACGAAAACGTTCTCACGAATATTCGTGATAACCCATCAGTTCGCTCATCACTCGTTGCTCGGCCACCTTTATGTTGAGTTGCATATGTTCACATATTCGTACTGTGCGTTATTTAATGCAATCACATTCTGTCGCTGTTTACTGTGGATGTTTATATGCATACGATATTATTTTTATGACGCTTCTAAGTTCATATGCGTATCTTATTACTTGTTTTCCACAATAACATTTTAAAAACGTAGTATGTGTCAAGTAAATTTTAGTGACATTTTCATATATAATCACATTTTTTTACTAACTGCCTTTGTTCTTTAAAAAGTTATTGATCAAGTTTTTCTTATGTTGCTCACCGACCATAATCACGTCCTGTTCTGAGAACAGGCTTATTTTTTTTACATAATTAAGCGTTTTTTATTATTTTCTGAGCAAGGAACCAAACGAAGTTAGACCACTCCAGTGACTTGTGAAAACGTAGTCTGTCAAATATGAATTCCGCGAAAATTTTAACTAAAACCTAAGGATATTTACCTCAATATCAGCAACAAATATACATGTAAATACTATTTGATCATCATTCATAGATGTGGCATGGAGAGGGGGGGTCTGTATACAGGTACAAGCCGCGTCGGGGCGGACGCTCGCGGATGCCGTCACGCGCCCGCACCGCGCATACTGATGTTGCTTCGCGCTTTGAACACAAACATGCTTTTATTCATAGTAAACCACCGGCCAAGAGGACAAATGATAGTTCTATAGTTGTATGTTAATATGTTATAAGTTCTCGAGACTTGTGTCTTGGAGTTCGTGCAGTTGGTGAACGGTTCGCTCTTCAATGAACTACGATCGAATATCTGCATAATTGTATCTGCGAAAGTGGCAATGTTTCGCTCGAAGACCAGCTATCGTTCATTGTTGTTTAATTTATAGACTTCCTTGTATCAATTTCCTATGGCGTTAATTGCATTCTGTGGGAATTATTTATTATAATTACTTTTAAATAGTGTTGTTTTAACTATTACAAATGGATACTTATTTAAAACATAAATTATTTAAAAGATGTAAATTAACTCGAAAAATATTCTTTCTGATATTTTACATATTTCAGCTAAGTCATGTTGTGATAGAGAAAAGATTACAAAATCGAATTAAAGTCAATTTATTCTGCAAGCCTTTTCAATATATTCTATAATCTTTGACTACAAGAAAATTTTATCGGTCTCTGCAAACGACGGAATAGTGATCTGAGTGGGTATACACTATAAAAAGTCGGACCATTAACGGCCGTGCCAAAAGGAGGAGCGTTTAGTACGGCGTGCGGCAAACCGTGCCAAGAATAGGGATTACGACTAAACCTTTCAACTTACCAGAGACCCTTGTCTAACAATAAACTATTTATATACTAATAAAGTTGTATAAAAGTTAAAAGAAAACAAGAATTCACACCATGACACTATAATTGTCCGTATTCCGTATGGAGGTATACTCGCCAGGTGAATCAGTTTTGCATGTGTCAATACTGATTAAACAATGATGAAATATATGTAAAACCGGTTAATAGATTGGTTGTTTGGTTATATTCCAAAAGAAATAAACTGATTTTAATACTACCATTGAAAATGAACATCATCCGGAAGTAATGTATTTTATTTATGCCGTGTTTAAAATCCGCCCGT